GATATAAGCTATAAAAAATACTGGGGATGAGGTGAAAAAAAATATTTGGGATTAGATAGAAAAGTCTGGGGAATATTGGGGATGAGCTAGAGAATATTTGGGAGGGGCTACAAAATGATAAAAAGAAATATTGGGGATGAGCTAGAAAATATTAAGAATATAAAAAATATAATAAGGAACAAGATAAAAAAAAATGTTGTGGATGAGATACGAAAGTCTTGGAAATATTGGGGATGAGCTAAAAGCTATTGGGGATGAGCTAAAAGCTATTGGGGATGAGCTAAAAGTTATTGGGGATGAGCCAGAAAATACTTGGAAGAAGCTAAAAAATATTACGAATGAGGTATAAATTATTAGGGATGAAGTAGAAAATTGCGGATGAACTTTAAAAAATTACGCATTGGCTAGAAAATACTGTGGATGAGCTATAAAATATTACGGATGAGTTAGAAAATACTGCGAATGAGCTAGAAAATACTATGGATGAGCTATAAAATATTACGGATGAGTTAGAAAATACTACGAATGAGCTAGAAAATACTGGGGATGAGCTATAAAATATTACGGATGAGTTAGAAAATATTACGAATGAGCTAGAAAATACTGGGGATGAGCTATGAAATGTTACGGATGAGTTAGAAAATACTACGAATGAGCTAGAAAATACTGTGGATGAGCTATAAAATATTAGGGTTGAGTTAGAAAATACTACGAATGAGCTAGAAAATACTGGGGATGAGCTATAAAATATTACGGATGAGTTAGAAAATACTACGAATGAGCTAGAAAATACTGTGGATGAGCTATAAAATATTACGGATGAGTTACAAAATACTACGAATGAGCTAGAAAATACTGAGGATGAACTAGAAAACATTACGGATGAGCTAGAAAATTCTGGGGAACACTTGGTACTAGCTAGAAAATACTGGGGATGAGCTAAAAAATCATGGAGATTAGCTAAAATATATCAGGGATGAGCTAAAAAATCATAGGAATGGGCTACTTTGAATGAGCTAGAAAATAATAGGGGTGAGCTAAATAAAACTGCTAATGAACTAGAAAACACTAGGGATGAGCTAGAAAATACAAGGGATGAGCTAGGAAATAGTTGGGAATATTCGGGATAAGCTAGAAATATAAAATGTTGGGAACGAGCTAGAAAATATTAGTGATAATCTAGAAAATACCGGGGATAAGCTAGAAAATGTTAGGAATGAGCTAGAAAATATTAGGGATGAGGTAGAAAATACTGGCTAATTTTGGGGATCAGCTAGAAAATATAGGGAATATTGTGGATGAACTAGGAAATACTGGGGACGAGCTTCAACATTTTATGGATATGCTAGAAAATAATCGGGATGAGGTAGAAATTAACGGGGATAAATTAGAAGTGATAATCTAGAAAATAAATACCCGTGAAGAGTTAGAAAATATTGGAAGTGAGATAGAGAAGTCTGGGGGGATATTGGGGATGAGCTGGAAAGTATTTGGGAGGGGCTACAAAATATTGGGGATGTGATAAAAATGTTAAGGATCTAAAAATACTGGGAATAAGATAAAAAATGTTGTGGATAAGATACAAAGTCTTGTGAAATTTTTTTTTTGGGGGGGGGGGGGGGGGTGAGCTAAAAATTATTGAGGATGAGCAAGAAAATACTGGCGATGAGCTAGAAAATATGAAATTGAAAGAAATACAAAATACTGGAAATGAGCTTGAAAATATTGGGGACTAGGTAGAAAATACTGGGGATGAGCTAAAAATTATTACGGATATGTTAGAAAATAATAGGGATGAGCTAGACATCATTGAGGATGAGTTAGAAAGTATAAGTGATAATCTAGAAAATACTGGGAAAGAGTTAGAAAATATTAGGGATGAGTTAGAAAATATTGGCAAATTTTGAAAAACAGCTGGAAAAAATCGGGGAATACTGTGGATGGACTAGAAAATACTGGGGATTAGCTAGAAAATACTAGGGATGAGGTAGAAAATATTACTGATGGGCTAAAAACAAATACTGGGGATGAGCTTGAGAATATTTATGAAATTTTAAAATATATATATTCGGATTGAGATAGAAAAGTCTAGGAATGTGATTAAAAAATGTTTTAAAAGGATCTAAAAAATACTGGGAATAAGATTTTAAAAAGTTGTGGATAAGATACAAAAGACTTAGACATTTTTTGAGGGGTGAGCTAAATATTATTGAGGATGAGCCAAAAAAAAAACCGGGGACGAGCTAAAAATATGAATGAAGTTGAAAATAATGAAAATGAGCTAGAAAATAATAACAGTGAGCTAGGAAATATTATGGATGAGCTAGAAAATACTGGGGATGAGCTAGAAAATATTATGGATGAGCTAGAACATCCTGGGGAATATTCAGGATGAGCTAGAAAATATGTGCTAAAAAATCTTGCAGATTAGCTAGAAAATATTAGGGATGAGCTAGAATATAATAGGGAAGAGCTACAAAATATTAGGAATTAGCTACAAAATACTGGTGATGAACTAGAAAATATTAGGGACGAGCTAGAAAATAATAGGGATAATCTAGAAAATACTGGGGATGAGCTACAAAATAAAGGGGGATATTTGGGATGAGCTAGAAAATATTACGGATGAGCTAGAAAATAATCAGGAATATTCGTGATTAGGGAACAATGGGGATGAGCTAAAAAAATCGTGGGAATTAGCTAGGAAATATCAGGGATGAGCTAGAAAATATTAGGGATGAATTAGAAAGTAATAAGAATGAGCTAGAAAATAGTTGGGAATATTTATGATGAGAGAAAATACTAGGGATAATCTAGAAAATACTGGGGATGAGATCGAAAATAATGGGGAAAATTCCGGATAAGCTAGAAAATGTTAGGGGTGAGCAAAAAAATATTAGTGACAATTTAGAAATTGCTGGGGATGAGCTAGAAAATATTAGGGACGAGTTAGTAAATCCTGGCAAATTTTGGGGATCAGCTAGAAATTACTGGGGCAATACTGTGGATGAGCTAGAAAATACTGGAGAAATTTTAGAAAATACTGGAAATGGGCAAGAAAATATTAGGGATAAGCTAGAAAATACCGGGGATAAGCCAGAAAATACTATGGATGAGCTATAAATATTACTGGGGATGAATTTGAAAATATTGGGGATGAGAGAGAAAAGTCTGGGGATGAGCTAGAAAATATTATGGATTTAAAAATGGTGGAAATAAGAAAAAAAAATATTGGGGATGAGCTAGAAAATATTGAGAATGAGTTTTAAAATATTTGGGATGAGAAAGAAAAGTCTTGAAAATATTGGGGATGAGCTAAAAATTATTGAGGATAAGCCAGAAAATACTGGGGATGAGCTAGAAAACATTACAGATGAGCTAGAAATTATTAGGAATGAAGTAGAAAATACTGGAAATGAGCTAGAAAATACTTTGTATGAACTAGAAAACACTGAGGATGCGCTAGAAAATGTTACAAATGAGGTAAAAGATACTTGGGATGAGCTAGAAAATATAACGGATGAGCTAGAAAACACTGAGGAATATTTGGGATTAGCAAGAAAATACTGGGAAACCCTGGGGTTGTAACTAAAAAATATTCGGGAATATTCGGGATTAGCTAGAATATTTGGGATGAACTAGAAATTATTAGGGATTGTCTAAAAAGTACTGGTAGGAACTAGAAAATACTAGGGATAAGCTTGAAAATAATAGGGATAATCTAGAAAATACTGGGGATGAGCTAGAAAATGCTAATGATAATCTAGAAAATACCAGGAATGGGTTGGAAAATGTTAGGGATGAGCTAGAAAATACCGGAGATGAGCTAAAAAAAAATTATTAGGGATGAGTTAAAAAATACTCTCAAATTTTGGGGATCAGCTAGAAAATTCCTTGGAATACTGAAGTTGAATTTAAAAATCCTGGGGATGAACTAAAAGATACTGGGGAAATGCTAGAAAATACTGGGGATGTGCTAGAAAATATAAGGGATGGGCTAGAAAATACTGAAGATGAGCTAAAAAATATTACGGTTAAGCTATAAAATACTGTGGATGAGTTAGAAAATATTAAAGATGAGCTAGAAAATATTAGGGATTAGCTAGAAAATACTGGAGGTGATCTAGAAAATATTGTGGATGACCTATAGAAGTCTGGGGAATATTGGGGATGAGCTAGAAAATACTGATGAATATTTGGGATTAGCTAGAAAATGCCAGGTATGAGTTAGAAAACATTAAAGATAATCTAGAAAATATTGGGGATGAGCTGGAAAATATCATAACGATGAGTTAGAATAGGCAAAAACTCATTTTTGTGTGGATTTTACTGAAAAACTTTCATCAAAGGCACATATTGTAAATTTTCAGTTTCCACGGACTCGCCAGCTCTGGAAGCCACTGAATTTTAGCAGCCATTTTCTGGCTCGTTTTACCTCTGACAGCAGACGACACCTACCTTCTTCAATCACAAATGTCTGGACTTCTGCTGACAATAGATGCGTTTTTTTTTTCACCAAAAACAAGATAAATAAAAACAAACTTTAAGATGATCGCAAAAACTTGCGCTGAGCCAGCACCGCCGAGCGCCTCATTCAGATGTGTCGTGACACAGTTCTCCTCTTGCTGAGCTAAGAGGTTATAAATAGAACCAGACATCTCAGGTATTCAGGTAGAACAATGTAGTTTTGTGAATGTCTTGATAACGACTATGAATTATCTGACAATTTTTATAGAACAGAACATTTGGTTTCTGACCTCATGACCCTATTAACAACTCAAAACGGCCAAAAATGTCCGATAGAACTTTGCAATTTTGAAGTAGCGCTTTGTAGCTGTCACGCACTTCACCATCACATGCACGAGATGGGAGTTCGATTCCTCGAGTGCCGATGTTGTAACCGTTATGTTTGTGTCTCTGTCTCCCCACCCTATGTGTCTGTCCCTGTCTATGTGTCTATGTGTCTGCCCCTGCCTATGTTCGTGTTTCTGCCTCGCCAGGATGGCCTGTACCCGCTCCACGTGGCGACCACCATAGAGCCTGAGGTGCGGAGACACACGCGCGTCAACGCTCTCCTTGAGCAGGGCGCCACTGTCAGCGCACAGACACTCACGGTAAACTGGGACGGGCTTTGGGGGATTCTGTTCTTTTATTTTTTGTTTTGTTTGTTTGTTTGTTTGATGTTTGTTTGTTTGTTTGTTTGACGTTTGTTTTTGTTGTTGTTGCTGTTTTGTTTGTTTTGGTTTTTGTTCTTTTGTTGTTGTTTTTT